TATCGGCATATAGTTTTGGTAGTTTTGTCAGGGTGGAAAAATTAAAATCGCACTCATTCCGTTTCTACCATTCAGTTTTGGTAAATTCATTATGCGTAAAAATTTAGCCCACAGGCAATTTTTATAGCATCCGAATTTATCTTTTGCATAATTTTACATTGGTAATATTATTTACTTCAGTATCTCTCTCTAATTTTGTGCCTCGAAAATATTCTAACCAAGCTTTCAATTTTTCTTTTTACAGTCACTCTTCCAATCACTCAATCAATAACAATTGATATTCCTATCCTTAATTATGATAATCACAAAGAGTGGAAAGACGCTGTTTTATTGAATTTAGGAATATTAGGGTTTGATTATGCTCTTCGCATTGAGAAGCCTGCTGAGCTTACTGCGCAAAGCACTGAGGAACAAAAAACGCTATACGAGCGATGGGCAACAGCCAATCGCTTAGGCGTATTCCTCATTAAGTCTAAAATTTCCAGAGAGATTCGTGGTCCCGTCGATGATATTGAGGACATTGAGCCATTACTCAAGGCCATCGATGATCAATTTGTTGACGCGAACAAATCTCTGGCAAGTACCCTGATAATGCAGTTTATCAATATGCGTCTTTCCACTGTCAAGGGAACGCGAAAACACATCATACAGCTCAGGGACATTGCGGCTCAATTGAAGAAGTTGAAGATTATTCTTCCAGATGCCTTTGTAGTGCACTTTGCACTAAATACCCTATCTCAAGACTATAATGCATTTAAAATTTCCTATAATACACATAAGGATGAATGGTCTATCAATCAATTGATTACCATGTGTACTCAAGAGGAAACACGGCTTTTAACTGAGCTCGGGGAAAGTGCTTTAATGGCCACAACAAGGCCTAAAAGAATGTCTGGAAAGCCTAAGGGACTTACCATGGCTGCAAAGGGGAAACTAACCCCTAAAGCAGACATTAAGAAGATACATAAGTGTTTCTTTTGCAAAAAGAAGGGACACATGAAGAAAGATTGTATCAAGTTTCAGAAATGGATGTCCCAAAAAGGTAACATTTCATCTTCTTTCGTTTGTTTCGAATCTAACGTGTCAGAAGTTAATACTAATTCCTGGTGGGTTGACTCTGGTTCAACAATCCACATTGCAAAATCTTTGCAGGATATGACAAAACTAAGACAGCCGATGGGAACTGAGTGTAGCATCTTCTCTGGAAACAAGATTGCGTCACCAGTAGAAGCTGTCGGAGTTTGCAGTTTAGTTTTGGACAATGGCTTTGTATTGACGTTAGAAAAGACTTTTTATGTTCCTAGTTTTTCTAGAACTTAGTTTCAGTATCTAGACTTATACCCTTCGGATATTCTTTTGAATTTAATGCCAATGATTTCAGGTTATTTCGTTATTCTACTTGTGTTGGTACTGGTACAATGTCTGATGGTCTTTTCCGTCTTAAATTAAAGAATGATTCAGTTTACAATTCTTTACATGTTCAAAACGGCACCAAACGGTGTAGTATTAACGACAATTCCTCAATGTTGTGGCATCGAAGATTATGTCATATCTCCCTTGAGTGTATTAAAAGGTTGGTAAAGGATGGAGTACTTTCTACTCTAGACTATACTGACTTTGAGACTTGCATTGACTGCATTAAGGGTAAGCAGACAAACAAGTCAAAGAAAGGTGCCAATAGAAGTTCAACGTTGTTGGAAATTATTCATACTGACATATGTTGTCCTGATATGACAATACCTGGTCAGAAATATTTCATCACCTTCATTGATGACTTCTCAAGATTTTTCTATGTGTATTTACTTCATCATAAACATGAAGCATTGGATGCCTTTAAATCATTTAAAGCTGAAGTTGAAAACCAATGTAACAGGAAAATACACATAGTTAGGTCTGATAGGGGTGGTGAATACTATGGTAGATATACTGAGAATGGACAAGCACCTGGTCCCTTTGCTAAGTTTCTTCAAGAGCATGGGATTGTTGCCCAATACACCATGCCTGGTTCTCCGGACCAAAATGGTGTAGCTAAAAGAAGAAACCGGACCCTTCTGGATATGATGCGGAGTATGCTCAGCAACTCTAAGCTTCCGAAGTCGTTGTGGGATGAAGCGCTTAAGACGGCAACGTATATATTAAACCCTGTTCCAACCAAGGCTGTCCCTAAGACACCATTTGAGTTATTCAAAGGTTGGAAACCGAGTTTGCAACATATGCGTGTTTGGGGATGTCCGTCTGAAGTGAGGATATATAACCCACACGAGAAGAAACTTGACCCAAGGACGATTAGTGCTTTCTTTATTGGATATGCACAGTCCTCTAAGGGTTATAGGTTCTATTGTCCATCTCATACTACTAGGATAGTGGAATCAAGGAATGCTAAATTTCTTGAAGATGACTCGATTAGTGGGAGTGATCGTTTTAAGGACTTAGTTCCTTCCTTCGATCATACTGACTCTCGACCTTCTACGTCATCTGGTGGGGTTGTACTTATCCGCAGTGCTCCTTTAGTTCTGCCTACAGATATACCATCTACCGTTGAGATTCCACAAACTGTTGAGGATCAGCCTTTGGAAGAACCAGTTCAGGACTTACAGCAACCGCCTGAACTAGATTTCGAACCAATGGTTGAACTAACTCCGGATATACAGCAAGATTCTGAGCCGATATAGACTGAACCGATTCAAGAACTGCCACCAGTTCCTGAGGAGGTAGTTGCCCCGCAGCCTGTACAAGGTGATGAGGGTCCAACCTTAAGACGGTCTACTCGGATAAGGCGATCAGCAGTTCCTAGTTATTATGTTTAGTATCTACAAGAATCTGACATAGGGGCTGAAGATGATCCTGAAACATTCTCTCAAGCCACAAATTATGCACAGTCTGACTTATGGTTAGAAGCCATGAAAGATGAAATGAATTCCATGAAGGACAATGGAGTTTGGGATCTTGTTGAGTTGCCTAATGAGGCCAAGGCAATTGGCTGTAAATGGGTTTCTAAGACTAAAAGAAACTCATTAGGCAACATTGAGAGATACAAGGCCCGACTTGTTGCCAAGGGATTTACTCAAAAAGAAGGAATCGATTACAAGGAGACCTTTTCTCCTGTATCAAAGAAAGATTCACTTCGGGTCATTCTGGCATTAATTGCACATTTTAATCTTGAGTTGCAACAAATGGATGTGAAAACCGCTTTCCTAAATGGTGATCTAGAAGAGGAGGTTTATATGAAACAACCTGAAGGTTTCTCTTCTAGGGGTGGTGAGCATTTAGTATGTAAGCTTAAGAAATCCATATATGGTTTAAAACAAGCCTCCCGTCAATGGTACATCAAGTTTGATGGGGTAATTTCTTCATTTGGTTTTGTTGAAAATCCCTCAGATAATTGTATATACCAAAAGGTGAGTGGGAGTAAAATTTGCTTCCTTGTTTTATATGTGGATGACATCTTACTTGCTACCAATGATAAGGGGATGCTTCGTGATGTGAAACAATTTCTTTCTAAGAACTTTGATATGAAGGATATGGGTGATGCCTCTTATGTTATTGGCATTAAAATTCAGAGAGATAGGTCACGGGGTATACTGGGTTTATCTCAAGAAACATATATAAACAAAGTTTTAGAGAGATTTCATATGCAAAATTGTTCACCAAACGCTGCTCCCAGATCTAAGGGGGATAGATTCAGTTTGGACCAATGTCCGAAAAATGATTTGGAGAAGGAATCCATGGAGAACATCCCTTATGCTGCAGCAGTTGGATGTCTTGGATATATTCAAGTCTGTACGAGGCCGGATATTGCTTTTGCGGTTGGAATGCTAGGGCGTTACCAACACAATCCGGGGTTGGACCATTGGGGAGCTGTAAAGAAGGTTCTAAGGTATCTCAAAGGAACCAAAGGTTACAAGCTTGGGTTTAGGCAGACGGACAATTTAGATCTTGTCAGTTACTCAGACGCGGACTTCGCTGGCTGTGTTGATTCTCGAAAATCAACTTCTGGGTGCGTCTTCATTATGGCCGGTGGGGCTATCTCATGGAGAAGTGTTAAACAGTCCTTAATAGCTACTTCTACCATGGAAGCCGAGTTCGTTTCCTGTTTCGAGGCTACTTCACAGGGTGTTTGGCTAAAGAATTTTATCTCTGGGCTTAGAGTTATGGATTCTATATCTAAGCCATTGAAAGTCTATTGTGACAACTCAGCTGCAGTCTTCCTAGCTAAGAACGACAAAAGTGGGAGTCGAACTAAGCACATCGACATCAAGTTCTTAGCAATTGGGAGCGTGTCAAAAATAAAGTTGTATTCATTGAACAAATTCATACTGAGTTGATGTTAGCAGATCCCTTGACTAAAGGCATGCCACTATTTAAGTTCAAGGATCTGATTCAGAAAATGGGACTTTCGCCCAATTTGTAATTTGTATATATATACATTCAGTTTTAATAAAATTCTTTGGCATTCAGACGTTTTCTCAATTAAGTGTGTACACCTTCATTTGCTTTATATTGATGAGAAAATGTACTTCAGGGACTTGGAATAAACATAGGGTTTATTTCGTTGGGTTTTGTTTCCTAATTAAGTGCCCAATGGCAATTTGCATTTGATCATAATGGATACTACTCGTGCTAATGAGAACATATCATTATGGTTGGTGTTTTTCTGTTATTGAGTGGTAGTGCTTGCACCAAGTGGGAGAATGTAACGTTCATCCGTTACTATTATTATAACATTAGGATAAGTTATGATAATATTCAGTATTTGATATGTGGTGCAACACTAATAACCTAATAGCTAGACTACCATTATGATTAGGAGTCTAGTTAGGGTTTAGGAGACCTAAAGACAATCAACCACAATGATGGCCAGTGGTTATATAAGGTCACTAGTCCTCTCACTGCTCACACTACATACCTCATACACCATCTAGAGAGAGCTGAGTAAAGTGAGAGACAAAATAATCGTTATCTCTGCAGTAGTCCGGATCGCTCAACCGTAACAAGAAACTATGGCTGGAGGTTAGTTGATCCTACAATCACATATTATATGATGCATGTGATATTTTAGTCTTACATGACCAACAAACGAACTCATGGGATCCTCGTATTTTATGTGATTTATTTGAACCTGACGATGTGGCTCGTATATCTAGGATCCCTATTAGCCCGGAGTATGAGGACTCGTGGTATTGGTATAAGGATCCAAGGGGAGAGTATTCTGTTAAAAATGCATATAGGCAGATTGTTGGAAATTTTGAGAATAATTCTGGTGCTTTTGATAAGTGGATCACATTGTGGAAGTTGAAAGTCCCACCCAAATGGAAAACCTTTTTGTGGAGAGCCTTATGTGATATCCTTCCAATCACAAACAACCTGATTATAAAGAGAGTAGAAATTGATCCTACATGCCCTATGTGTGATACATCTCATGAGCATGTTATGCATACACTAACTTCTTGTGATTATTCTAGAATAGTTTGGAATATTTCGGGTTTGCCTGTTACAAATATTATTGCTGCTACTTTTCCAGAATGGATAATGGGTGCTATGGCCAACTTAACGGAGGAACAATTTGCCACAATGGTAGGAGTTCTTTATCACTTATGGAACGCCCAGAACGAAGCTGTATGGAAAAGGGCATTACCACGACCAACCGTTACATGGAGGCGTGCCGTCACGGCCAAGACGGCGTACACCCAAGCACACTGCCTGGGCAGTGTTCACGTAGCACCGCCACCTGCACCGGCGCTCCAGGGACGTCCGCGCTGCTTCTTCGACGGAGGCTTTCGTCCACAGTCGGGCAACACGGCTTACGGTGTTGTACTACTTCACCCGGATGGTTCGTTCAAGGCGGCAACGAATGGCAAGCTTCCGAGTTGTTTTTCACCCCTTATGGCGGAGGCCCTTGCATGCAAAGAAGCTTTATCATGGCTTAAGGAGCGTAACGAACTCGATGTGGATATGCTGACCGATTGCACATAACTACGACATCATTTACTATCTAGTCCTACGGCCATCCTATCTTATGAAGGGGTGGTGGAGGATCAATGCCGGGCAACAATGGCCCTTTTTACTTATTGCTCTTTAAATATTATCTCTAGACTAGTTAATGTTAGTGCTCATACTTTAGTTACGTTAGCTTTTGATCAGGAACATTCTATGTATTGGGACTATGTCCCTCCTGATTGTTTGATTCCTTTCATTAATTAAAATATGCCAATTTACTTGGCTTTCAAAAAAAAAAAAAAAAAAAAAAAAAAAAAAAAAAAAAAATATTAGTTTAGGCTTTTGAGATGGAGCACATATTTCAATTTAGTATCAAAATCATGGTAAAGGTATTGGGTCCGCATCACTCGATAAAAAAAGAGACTATGGTCCACGTATTGCTTGAAACCCATAAAAAAAAAAAATCAATCGTACACGTGAGTGAGTGTAACATAACAATACTTTATAGTTTATAGTAACAAAAGAGAAAGAATTTTGTATTAAGAATGAAAATCTATCAACGTAGTTACATCTTCGATATCCCATATTTCATTAAAATCCATAAACTCCAAACCCAGTTCCGGCGAAGTCGGTACCGGAACACCAGAACTGATGTAGGAGCCACCATCGGTATCCCCGGCGGGTGCCGCCAATAATGTCTCCATTGGAACACCCTCTGCGATTGTGTCCACCTGAACACCAACAAAGAATGAATCCAAATCGAAATCATCGATACCCTCTGCGATCGCTGTCTCCATCGGAACACCAACATTAATGTCGTATGAATTCATGTTATCCGCCGGTGCCAATAATGTATCCACTGGAACACCAACAAAGAATGAATCCATATCATCATCATCGATACCCTCTGCGATCTGCAATATCGGTGTTTCAACGGGAACCGGAACGGGAACGGAAACAATAGCCTCGGAAACGTTGTTGTTGGTGCCGCCTTGTTCCAACGTTATTTCATCATCTTCTTCATCATTATCATCATCCTCATCATCATCTTTTTTCTTTCGCTCTATGCGACACAGCACGAAATCTTCTCTCTCTTCCACAATAGGAAATTCGGCCCTAACTCTCCTGATCATCGTCTCCGACAGGTAGAACTCTTTCAGCAGCCACTTTCCGTCTTGTTCCGCTTCACTTTTGTTCTTGTAGAGGAAGCTCCGTTTATACCCCATCAGAAACCTCCCGTTCTCGTCCGCCACCGCTTTACCAATGTCTTGGCCGTGCCAAGTGCCCGGCTTCTTTCCCTTCATCTTTCTCCCCACAGTTCGCTGAACCCTAGATCCTTTCATGGACTTGGCCTTCTTCTTCAACCTAGTCAGAAAGTATGCCATTTTTTTCCCCGACGGAACTAACTCCCATGGCTCCTTCTCACCGAACACATCTTCCTGATGAATCAGCGCTTCATCGTCCACACAACTCCTCCCCGTAACGAAATTGAAGAGAAACTTGAGCACGTCGTAATCAAAAGGTTGAAAGCGAGCACCCAATGGAATCTCCATAGCTAATAACTTCGAAATGTAGATTCCGATCGGAGGGTTAAGTTATTTGTCGATCTGGCGGGAACTATATTAGAAAAACAGCGGTGTAGTGCGTCGATATATATTTATAGTATTTCCTTACCTCTATCTTATCCTATTATCCGTATTAGGGTTAGGAAAGAATTGAGTCTATTTATTGATAAAATGACTACAATCTCCATATTTAGCTATTACGCAAATATAAATTAGAGGGGTAATAATGTAATTTAACATTATTATCTATATATCTATACAATAAAGTTATAGGGTTTGGGTAAACCCTACAATTATTGACACGACCTATTAACATGACACCAACAATAAAATAACAGGTAGTGTTTAGCCTAGCTTAACGTGTTCCACGTCATTGGTTAACCTTAGCTTATTAACAAGTCAATTTCTTTAAACCTATTAAGAACCTTAACATGTTAATATTATTGTGTTAACCCGTTTACATGAACAAACCTGCAGGTTTGCCGACCAGGTAAACTACAGGTGAACTACAGGTTAACCTTAGCATATTAACAAGTCAACCCGTTAAACCTATTAAAAACCTATCATATTTAATATGTTAATATTATTGTGTTAACCGGTTTACATGAACCAACCTGCAGATTTGCCCGCCAGGTAAATTGCAGGTTTGACTCATGCACGGCCAGTTCTTGTATTATCCCAACTAACGGTATATTCACATCTTTGTTAATAGGTGATTTCAGAACATTAATTGTATTGCAATGGCATTATATTATATATGCATCAGATTATGTGTGGAAATGATGGATGGTATACATGAATTAGTTAGGACTCAAATGAGACAAAAGAAATATAAAATAGAAAACAATTTTATTTTTTTTGTCTTTGAATTATAGGAAAATAACATTTTGTCCATTAATTACACAAGTCATCACTTTTCATCTATTAATTTGTCTGCAATGTAGCTTTTTTGCTTACTGGTAACAATAGTATAGGACAAAAAAAATTATGTCAAAGACAATTGAAGGTGTGAAAAGTGACTGCATATATAATTGAAGGACGAAAAATATTATTATATTTTACTATAATTTAAGAATGAAAATTGTCATTCCTCATAAAATTTTGAGATATATATATATATATATATATATATATATATATATATATATATCTGTTTTAGCAAGAGGCATTAAGTTCCTCATGCATGTTTTAGGATGTCAAGAAATAATGAGATTTACCCTTCTGGGTATACTATTTGAATTGTAATTCCCTCATAAATATCACCAATAGAACATAAAATGAAAAATATCAAATAGGCACATCAACTTTATATAAAAGTTAATTATACCTTTGAACATTTAAAAGTTACAATTATATATGTCCATCAACATGTTATTTTCATGTATTGAAGACCACAAATTAATTTTTTACATGTAATAGCCGGTCACCATATATAGTTCAAATAAAAATCTGACAATGCTTCGGTGATTGTCAATCTACCATCGAAGGCGACCAAGAAGGCAACCAATTATGGTCATCTTCTGCTGGCGAAGGTGACCAACCCAAATCGGCGACCGTTAGAGTACAATGTCGTCAGACTTCTTCATATTTTCGTCGGACCAATAGTGACCGGCCTGCTATTATAGGTCAATAACAATCGAGTTTGCGATCTTTGATGCTTGAAACTAACATGTTGATGGATTTATTGCAACTTTTAAAAGTTTATGATTTAATTATTATTATTATTTGTATAAAGTTTAGGGACATATTTAACCTATGAGACACAATTTCAACTTGTCAATTAATCCAAAATAGCTTCATTATTATGCTTTACTTTGCTAGCAACCGCATGGCATGGTTCAAATTAATCCTATAAGCTAAGCCAATTGAAACACATCACGTGGTTTACATCCTCCCCAGTCTCTAAAGCATGAGTGGTAAGAGATCAGACCATTAGGTTTGAGGTTCAAACTTAATTAACAATATAAAATAAAATAATTTTTTAATAAAAGAAAGGAATTAATCAGGGCAGCCATTATTTTCATATTGATGCGCCATTATTTTCATTGTGATATGATGGTACCATTATTTGAACTGTTATGAAGAGCCTGAAAATTCTGGTATAACATATATAATGCACACATTATATATAGTTGTTAATTAGGCTATGGACGTTGTACAAATATTTGTTGAGATCTTTAACCACCCACTGCACTGCGTGCACAACCCTTTCCCTGGTTACTTATCCTCAATCCATTGTTTTTTTGTTTTGTTTTTTTTTTTTTGGGTTATTTTTAGAGAAATTTGTAGCAACCATCTAAATATGTTTATTGGATAAACCTTACATTGTGACCTGAGCGATAAAGGACCACAAGAAGGTAAATTATAAGATGTTGTTCATATATAACTGGCTCAAATCAAAATGGTTAATATGTTACTCTCATTAGGAGTTGTACTTACTAAACTAATTGTCTAATCAATTTGTTTGAAATTACCCCGTAATGCTTCGATGGTGTTGGTTTGAAGTACTTTGTAATGATGTAACTTAATAAAACTATTAAACATTATCATACACTTCGTTCTTTAATTTTTTAAATTTATTAACGGCCGGATTATTATATTACTAATCCATAAAATATGAATGGATAGTTAAGTTCGCCTTTTAGCTACAAGGGTATGCTTAAATTATATGCTTTCAAACTTCAAAGGAATGACTAAATGGGTAAAAAATAATTTTCATATTATTAGTTTTATTATTATCACCTATATCACACATGATTTTAACTTTATTTTTTTTTTTGAATGCGACTGGTTCTATTACATTGTAGTATATGTCCAAACATATTTTCTCAATCTAATGAAGCACAAAAAATTGTAGTATCTGTTCAAACATATTTTCTCAACCTAATGAAGTACAAAGAATTGTAGTATCTGTCCAAATAAACTTTCTCCATTCTCAACCTAATGAAGAGAGAGTACATTGTAGTATCTGTCCACACAGAGAGAGTATATTGTAGTATCTGTCCAAACTTTCTCTCAACAACTCCTCCACGGAGGCTCGATCTCATGACCTCCCACATGGGAGATGTCACTACATGTCATCTGAGCACATTAAGGGTGTGTTTGGTTCGCACATAAGAATCGGAATCAGAATGGTTACTAATAGTAGTGCTTGAGAATGAATAAGAGAATGAAACTCTTACTTTATTTGGGTATGAGTTTTTCAATTGATGGAGTATTCAAAACCCATAATAGTGTTCTAAAAAACTATCAACCAAACAACAACAATCACTTTCATACTTATTTCTGTAGGCAAAATCCACCAACCAAACACACCCTAGATATGATAATGTCACATTAGGTAACAAAAATTGAAATATATTGTTTCCATATAACCTAACTTGTGTGATTTTACAAGAATAATAAGTACACCTCAGCCGCCATGCACGTGCATGCGCTGGTGATGTAGCTGCAGCCTACCTCCCTTATTAC